GACTGCATATATGAAACGTTTGGGATTCGCTTCGCTGCATTGGTAAAGTGAGGTCCATAAAAATGCCAAACCCTTGCCTGATTCTGTCACAGACTCGCGATACAAAGTGTAAAGGTATCTGAACATGCATTCTTTTGTTATTCTTTCCGAATGTCGACTTTATGATTTCCGTTGCTTTATTTCAGGTGAACACGATGCCGACAAGTCGAGTCTCACCGAGAGCGAAAAGGAGGAACTTATTGCGGAGTTGAAAAGAGTAACTTGCTTTCGACCTAGTGTTTAAATCTTGCGTCCGCCTTCCCCCCCACTTCGCAGGGTTGGTCGTTAAAGCCATAAACTTCTGGGTTTTACGGCATGACGACGAGCTTTTTCCTTCGAAAACCTTATCCTAACGTTTTTGTCCTTGCAATCGCATAGTCGGCCGGTTTACTAGTAGGTGACATTGTGCCGGCGCTTTTCTCTTTCTGCTGGATTCACCATTACTGTTGACTTTCAGGAAATTTTGGTCTTCCTACGTCTTGTTTCATTGGATCTAAACTGACATACAACAGTAATAGCATGTTTAATGCTTGTGATACGACGCACAGAAGCAGTCTGACCTGTCAATATAAGAGATGCGAGAGACAAATAGGTTATGAGTGACGGAAAGAGAAAATCAGCATAATAGATCCTTTTTCATTATTTATCTGTATGAAGCATTGGAAATACGATAATTGATCCTTTTAATGCATGAAAGCATCGTGATCTTGCTTCCTTTGAAAAAAAATAAGTTAAACTCTAAGGTAAGACTTTCGAAGACATCCAATATTGCGATTAATCTTAGAAAACGCTGTCTAATCACTGTGCTCGTTTGCTGTTTAATTAATGGAAGCATGCAATGGCACAACCCATATGCAGGATAAACCTTAAAAATTTAGATTATCGGTGCGCAGTTATCTAACACTTGGCTGGTGCATGTTAGACAGGAACCTGCTATGTAGATAAATCTGTTAAAGGAACCGATACCCGTTGAGCTGATAACTCAAAAAGAATACTATCGCTAAGATCAAAAACGTTGTCAGAATATTAAACTTGAAGCCGGAAACAGCCGATGGGATGGGGAAAGAATTTAACGAAAGAAAATATGATGAATTCATTAAATAAAATAAATAAATTGATCAGTTAGTTGAACAAACGGCAGAATGCGACAGCTAACGCCGCAACATTGAGCACAGTTGTAAAAACGAGT